TCCTCCTCCTCGGATCGAGCCTCTGTGCTGCTGCTGCTGATGGTGGATTGGATTTGGCGGCGCTTGGATCTGCGGCGAGTCATGTGGCCGCCGGTGGGGGAGTACCCGTCGGAGGAGTGACCCCGATCGGGGGAGAACGGAGGGACGAAGTTGATGATGGAGAGACTAGTGGAGGAATTATTGGAAGAGCTGGAGGGAACCAAGGTCGCCGGATCTGGACGGCGGAGTTGAGCTGGCTGAGGCGGCGGCGGGGTAGGAGTTGGACGGTTGCGACTGGAGGGGAGCTTGGCCAATGCTAAGTGAGATCTCATGTGGCCGCCCATGGCTTTCCCGGTAGGGAACCACCGCTTGCAGATCTGGCAAAATCGAGGGTAGTCGTTGCTCAGCTTCGTGTTCTTCATGACGAGGATGATAATCCGATTTCTCAACGAACTTGGTAGTAACTCTTCCGTTGAGAGGGCGTAGCTGCCTGCTACTACTGCTACTTGAGTTTTTACTCTACCTAGGGTAATGGAGATTTTTAGAGAGAGATAAGAGGCTCGGGGAGAGAGAGAGAGGGGAAGGATATTGTGTATTTATATACAGAGAAAGAGACAATCTACAATTATGCTTACCAAAATTGATTAATACTGTGTTTTAATTTTTTGCTTTGTTTAACATTTCTTTTGCTCGGTGGTTAGTATATATAAATTGGTTAATTATCTGCGGCCCTCGAGTTTTCAAAAAGAAAAAGAAAAAAACGAGCGATTGGTTACTTGCCCAAATTTCATATCCCTTTAATTGTGGAAGGGTACCGTAATATATGGAAAAACTACTGTCTCTCGTGTGAAATTCGGGGTACCGCATACATTGAGTAAGAAAACACTATCCAGAACTTGAATTGACTGATCTTTCGGACATGATACTATGCTCTAACCCTTACAGATCAACATCTAGATCTTAATTCTCTAAATCTTATACCCCAAGATCAATTTAATTAGAAACAATAATCAACAGTTATGATTCGTCCAAATATAGGCAAAAAATCAATGCACCATCTTAGGGTTTATAGTTAGGGATGACAAAAATATCCATAATCGTGGATATCCGCCCTAATCCGGCCTAGTCGGGTAGGGTAAAACCCGAACCCGAAGGACATTTAGTGGGTACGGGTAAAACCCGAACCCGAATATTGCGGGTAATGGGTGGGCATTGATTTCTCACTATCCGACCCGAACCCGCCCGATTATACACATGCATATGTATTTTGTCTAGAAATAATCATTATTTTTCTCTAACATATTTTATATTTAGCATATAAATATAACATTTTCATGAAATTGTATTGTTTTAGTTAATTTTCTTCATTCTAGTGAATTCTTGTTGTACTTTTTCTCTTACTTAATATAAGAATACGTGTGAATGTTAACATATTGGTTGGAGTTATGAAGAGAAATTAATATCCATGGATAACCGTGGATACCCGAAACCCGAACGGGTATGAGCATGGTTTTGATTTTCTACCCGTTTCACATGTGGGTATGGGTATGGGTAAAACCCGAAGTAATTTGGGTAGGGTAACGGATATGCACTATCCGCCCCCGACCCGACCCATTGCCATCCCTATTTATAGTTTATGATTTAGATAATTAGGACCTAGGGTTCACTTATTAACGGTTAGGGTATTGTATCATGCCCAAAAAACCTACTAATACGAGGTCTAGATAGCGTTTTTATACTCAAGGTATGCGATACCCCGGATTTCACCCGGGGTACCGTAGAAGGTACCATATATATATATATATGGTGCGTATTCAGTGCACCCACTTTTTTGCGTGCACTCAGTGCACCCGCCTCATAATTGTCATTCTGAGCATGTGATTCATGTCAAAACGGTATCAATTGTTGCTTATGATATTATGAACAAGAAGCACATGAATTTGAAAAAAATTCATTCAAAATTTAATTTAATTTGAAGGATTTAGGATTAGGGATTAGGTTTAAATTTTGGGATTTTGGATTGGGATTCAAAATTGAAGGTTAAGGGGTTAGGGTAATAAATTGATTTGTTATTATTCTATGTCATATCATCATATTAGATTGAGAGTACTAGTTAAAGTTCAAAATTTGATGTAATATAAACAATTTTAGAGTGGGTGCACTCAGTGCACCCAAAAAAGTGAGTGCGCCGAAGTAGCCACCTATAAATATATATATATATATATATATACATTCTTAAATATGGTAGTCGGTTTGGTTCGATTATAATTTATAATCACAATTAGTTATTCGGTTATCGTTTAATTTTATCAATATGTGCTCAGCATGAATCGCACTGGTTATGTCAGTCTACTAACCAATAATTATGGTCATTGGCTAAATTTTTTATTAACCGGCTAGCAAGTGATTCAGAACGGTTACTCCGGAAAAATTGATCGATTGTATGTTTTTTGCGGATCCTGTTGATTGGAACCCTTCAATCTACTATCATTGTCAGTAGGGTTGGCTATTTGGTCCAGTCTTTTTGGTTTTACCCGAAAATGGACCATATAACCTGGACCGAGATCGGATCGGATAGCAAACAATTCAATTTCGTTTTCGGACTTAGATTTGAGGTAACAAAAACCGTAAGGGACTAGACCGAAAACAGGATAAAGACCGGATAAGAGAGCCCAATACCCAAAATTTAACCAACTCATCACCATTTCAGGCCTCAGACCACTCAAATCCCCACAAGCTCAATCTAAAATCAAGATCGAATTGGGACTGGACCTGATCAAGACCTGACTGTATCCAATCCAATCTTTGATCCTTGTATTCCCGAAAAGATTGGACCGGAACCGGATCAATTTGAGCCAATTTAACCAGACCGGTCTATATAGTCACCCCTAATGGTCACCTCTGACACGCAAATGCAGAAGATAAGTTTGGTTTTGGCTCTACACTACCAACGTAACTTTGCAATGATGGACATCAAATTCATTCATGATTTCTGGCTCGAGCTCAAACTGATGGAGGACAAAATAGATGATGTAAAAGTACAGAGTCAAGTAGCCATTGTTGTATAAAAAAAGAACGAAAGGCGGCGACAAAAAGATGTAATAGATCCGCATGCACTTAGCAAGACAGTGAGTGGAAGAGGACCAACCGACCCAGGTTTAACAATCAAGCCCGAAGATTTGGCCAAAGCATTGTTAAAAGCGAATCGGAGTATAACCCGATAATGTGAATGGCTCGATTTTTAATGGTCCAACTGACATTAAATCATTTAAAAACCGTTAGAAAACCGATACTTAATAAACAATCAGTATAAATAGTGGATACTTTTTAATCATGATTAAATTAGTAAATTACACTCTTAAATTTTAACAATTCCAAAACATGCGAGCGGGGAGCTGGGAGTGGCTACAGGGATTGGAGATAGCGACGGGAAGCGTCGGGATGGTAAGTGACGACAGAGCGAAGGAGTTGTTACTGGAAGAGGGGACGGGGACGGAGACTGGTGATGGCGAGCTGAGAGCTGCTGCGCTGACTGGGGATGGCGACGATGCCGACGGGAAGTGTTGACGGCGGCAGGGTCTGGCGCTGCTCAACTCCTCTGTTCACGAAGAGTCGAAGACGAAAACTGAATTAGAGTTAGGGTTTCTTTCTTAGCCCCACGATTTTGCTTTTCGTTTTCAATTTTTTTATTAAACAAAACGACCGTAAGGGAAAATCGAGCGACCGGTTTGAGCGGCTCGAGTGGTTAACCGCCTCGACCGCTCCATAAAACCGTAGCGGCTAAATGACTGGCCCGAGCCGGTTTTGCGGTCGGGTGGCGGCTTTTAGCGGTCCGCTCCTTAACGTCTGTTGCATTCTCTTCCCGTGAGCGTTTATGTGATTACGACATCAAACAATTCATTATTGTATTGCTTGTACTGCGATCGGATTGAAGTTTATACCCCATATTTAGTTACTGAATAGCTGGATTTTATTCCGATAGTAAAACTGTTGCTAAATTCTTAACCAAAAGTGAAAAAGGACCACAAGGAAAGAAAAACCAAAAAGTGTTAATCTTAAATTAAGATAAAGGAAACCGGATCGTACCGGCCAGTCTGCCTGCTGGTGACGGAGAGGCCGGCCGTTGATCGATCTCCAGTCCCTCCTGTGCTCGACCTCCCCTGCCTCTGGCGACCGGCGAGAAGGGCAGAGGACGAGCCTGCCGCCGCCCAAGCCTCCCTCTCCGCCGCGCCGACCCTCCGTCTCTGCCGCGCCGACCCTCCCTCTGCGCTGCGCCGACCCTGCCTCTGGTACCATATTATTTATTATGTATAAGTGCATTCTTCGGAGCAGATAAACCCGAGTGCACGAATGATTTCGTAGTTAGGCAGTTCTCATTCCTGCAACTTGTGCACTGTGTTCTAGTCAAACCGGTAGTTCATGTTAATTCTGCTAATATTCATGACACGTCAAGACATCTACTTTTAGTCTCATAATACCTCATTTGCTCTCTTCACTATATTGATCTGCCCCTTTTCTACCCTGTTCTTGAAGGTTTATCATTGGTTTCTTTCTTGGCGCCATCCCCTGGTACCTTGGGCTGTTCGTTCTACTCTGTGCACAGATAGATCCCAGGGAGAAACCTGGATACGTTGCTTGTACAATTGCTGTAAGTAGAACCTTTTATGCTTTATATTAAATGTGCTTATTTAGTTTATTCAGGTTTGTTATCCGGTATATTCCGGTATTATTCCGAAACGGTATCCTGAATCTGTCGGTACGGTTTTTTAACAAAAAAATATTATTTAATTACAAAAAGGTATTTTGCCGGTACACAACGATTGAACCACGGTAGTACCACAAAATACTCTACCACTGGCAAATCCGGTATGACTTCCGGTACGGTTTCCTTTACCATTATATTGGATTCTTGGTGCCTCATAACATATGTATAATATTTTGGGCCTAGCCCAAAATGCAAAAAGGCCCAATTGACGGTGATAATTTTGGCTGCATGACTTGGTGCGAGATCATCAAATCATCCAGTTATCCCCCTTTCCCGCCATTATCGCCAAAACCCCACTTCCGTTTCAGTTCCTTTGAAAATAGCGCACTCGTTCTCGTCTTACCCGTTACTCGTTAGGGCTTTGACGTCCGACGAGCAAGATCGTGGTCACGACGATGGAGGACTCGGAGCGTTTCCCCGGTCCGGCGGGTACTCCCACACCATCCGGGGCGGGGACTATCAAGAGGATCCGATTGGAGAATTTCATGTGCCACAGTAATCTACAGATTGAGCTCGGCCCGCGGATCAATTTCATCACCGGCCAGAATGGGAGTACGTCTCTTTTTACCCCCTTTGTCTCGTTGGCCCCTCTTTGTATGTACACTCGTGTTTCGAATCACTAGCATCATTGCTATTAGGGTTCCGTGTTCGTTATGTGGTGTAGTTAGTTCAATGACTTAGTGAAACGAAATTCGAGGCCAATACTTAGCAATGAATTTTTGTACGGTGATTGAGAAATGATGTCTCCAAGACTCCAACTGGAATTGTCTTTGCTTTATATCCTTCTCAGGGAAGAATGCTCTGTTTGGACCGAGTTAATTCTTTGGGGATTTTGGGAGTTTTCAGGTGGTAAAAGTGCAATACTTACTGCAATTTGCGTAGCCTTCGGAAGCAGAGCTAAGGGGACGCAGAGGGCGGCCACACTGAAGGATTTCATAAAAAATGGTTGCAGGTTTGAGCTTCTATCCTGTTAAAACAGTATCTCCTATCGCACTTCCAGGAGTGATGTCTGACAGTCTGAGATTGTTTCCTTTCCAGTCATGCTGCTGTTGAAGTGGAAATAAAAAATGAAGGACATGATGCATTTAAGCATGATATTTATGGCGATGCCATAATTTTAGAGCGTCGAATCAATCAGTCCGGTGGCTCCATGACTCTAAAGGATCACCGAGGTCTGTGCTCTTTTACTAAATTTATATTTGGTTAATTTTTGTCCCGATCAAGGCTTGAATCTAGGTGCACTAGATATTTTGGCAAGCATTGCTGCAACTATTAGGTCTGGACCTCAGGTTACTTAAAAATGAAAAACTGAAAGTGTCCTTTTACTTTCTTCAACAAGCTCTGGGATGATTAGTACTCAATGAGTTGCGTTACTATTATTGGTTATTGCTGGGCTTTCCCTAGATGTCTAAAATAGATCACTTCAAATGCTGAATCACAGCATAAGCTGGCCTAGTTTGAGCAATTGGCTCACAACTCACAAGAGCCATATGTCATGAGGATGATTGCATCAGTGAGTGTCTTAATCCACCATCTTATTCAAGACATAAGAAGCAAAGAGCTACAGAAGTGTTAGATATATCATATATGTGAATATGAAAAATGAAATATCACTTCTGCCCCACTACGGCCAGTTTGATTTGATGCTTTATGTGGTAATTATCATTCTCCATACTGAACTAGTTTGTCATAGGTGACTAATGATTTATGAAATCATTTGCGTTTGTATGCATTGGCATCCTTGAGATGTGATGATCTCTCCCGTAAGGAAGTCACATCATCCATTAATGGTCTGAAGTGTTGAACTTTAGTGAAAAGATATAACTGTACACTTATGCATTTGGATTGTCTTTTTTTTTTTTTTTTTGAAAGATGTGCATTAGGATTGTCTATTCATCAATTTCAAATTTAGTTCACCCTAAAATCGTAAGTACTGAAGTCAATAGGCACAGGAATTTTAACACTGTCCTATGCAATTTGATTTTTTTTGTCACCTAAGAAGATGTTCGATTCAACCAGAACAGTGAACTTGTACCAGGCAACTAGTTTTAGATCCATGCCTGCTTTGTGGGATTTGTTTCTGCTTACTGAGGATTGACGTAAAAACTTATGATGAACTTCACTTTTGTCTTTTGCCAGATGAGAGAATTCAGTACTAACTTTTTTTGTTTTGTCTCTGGGATATATGATAGGAAGAAAAGTTGCAGGTCGGAAAAATGATATTCAGGAGCTCATTGATCATTTTAATGTGAGTTTTCTGAACACTGCATTTGCGTCGTGTCCTTCAGCGCATTCTTTCAACTCATGGTGCTGTATTAATTGCTGTTAAAATGTCAATCAACTGAAAAGGAACTATTAACATGATAATTACTTCCTACTCTTCGTTTTATTTTGCCAAAAGTAATGTTTGTACTCTAGTCTCTATTCGACTGCTAAGATGGTGGTTCCTATTCTTCATATTCTTGCGTAAGTGTCTAATCTAAGGAATTGTGTCGGGCATGGTGCAGATTGATGTGGAGAATCCTTGTGTAGTGATGAGTCAAGACAAAAGTAGGGAGTTCCTGCATTCTGGGAACAAGAAAGACAAATTCAAGGTGATTCTGTTTGCTATTCTCCTTTAATTTGGTATTCTTTGCTGGTCTGATATGGTCAGAGCAGTATCTATAGTGCTCCATGGTCACTCTTTTTTCTTCAGTTTTTCTTCAAGGCTACTCTTCTTCAGCAAGTTAATGATACCTTGCAAAGGAACACGGAAGGACTGAAGTCAGTAAGTGCCGCTGTTGATGAAGACGAGGCTTCTATTAAACCAGTAGAGAAAGAACTTGAAGACTTGCAGAGAAAAATTAGAAACATGAAGCATTTGGAAGAAATTTCTCAGGAGATAGAGGTTTTGACGAAGAAGCTAGCATGGGCATTGGTTTATGATGTAGACAAGAAAAAAAAGGAGCACATTGTGATGATGGACACACTCAAACAACGTGTTCCTGCTTGCCAAAGAAAGATAGATGAGCAACTAGTGAGTGATTGAAGGGATTGGCATTATTAAATAATCCTATGTTTTATTTGTCATTTTCTACTAACCAAAACTGGTATGAGCTTTTTCTTTCCAGTTATTTCATTATAATGCCTGTTACTTTTATCTGGATGTGTTGGCTGGAGTATTGTGAAACCACCAACAGTAAGATCTTCTGAGCTTGTTCCTTTGTTTGATTCAAAGGCTAAGATGGAATCCCTCAAGGAAAAATCATCAAAGAAGAAGGGTCAAATTGATTGCCTGATTGTCAAAGCATCGGAAGTGAAGAGTAAGCAGAAGGAATTCGAGGAGTCTATTTCTATGGTAGTTTTCATTCCCTATTAGAAGAAAAGTACTAAATGGAATTGGTAATCTTAGAATTCGAAATTCCTGGGCGGTGCAATGCGCATATCCCTTTAGAGGTGTGAAAAAGTTTGACATACAAAATTTGGTATATTCCTATTTGAAAGATAGGTATAGACAAAACAAGGTGGTTTTGGATCCTAAGTGCATCCCTTGATTTCAGGCATGTACACGAAAGTCCAATCTTTTATGCCTTTTCAGGTGGTTTACTGTTATCTGTGAAAATTTCACATGCTCTGATTCTGTATCTGAAGTTGATTTTGTCTGTTCATGAGGTTTTCTGGCTAGGTTGTTGTTGTATGTTCAATAACTCCACATCCACTGATTTGTATGTGAAATTGATTAATTAGGCCAGAAAGGAGAAGATTGAGTTAGAAGAAAAGCATAAGCGTGCTACTAATCAGATTGACGACAAGGAGAAACAAGTATCAAAACATAAGCGGCAAATTGAGGAAATTAAAGAGCAGCATCTTAGAAACACACAGGTTTTGTTATCTAACCTATATTGCGTTTTCTTTCTTCCCTTCGTGTGCATCTTTGATTGTTCATTTCTGTGTCTAGTGTTTTGTTTATGGATATGAGAAACATGGGGAAGGTTCTCTGTAGTTATCCCCATTTCCCTTTGTTTTAATGTTGAAGTTTCTTGTCACGTGTAATTTGTCCTAGTGCTATAAGTCGTGTTCTATAGTTCACTAACCAACTGTGCAATCTGCCAATTGCACGAACGGAGGCATATGGTTTCTTTTATTCATGCCTCTTTGGTGAAGGACATATGTCATTCACTTCTTATTATTTTGTACGCTTTAACCTTGGACTTGGCCCTTGACTTTCCTGAGATGTTACAAGAATTGTGATGCTACGCATGATCTTCTTGTCATCTAGTTTGCTTCCAATGCTAAATACAGTTAGACGTTATGGCTTTCTGGTAATTGTTGTTCACTTCTGAAATTGATCTTGTACTGCAGGCTGAAAAATCTGAAACAGAGGAAAAGATCAGAGAACTTAAACGCACAATAGATGCTGCAACCGACTCACTCTCAAGGTGATCCATTTCATATTCCCTTATGTTATCATCTATCTTTTCACCTCTGCATCAAGATCTATTTGTCCAACCTGCAACCCTGATAATCTAGGTTAGAGAATGAGGAATTTGGCTCAACAGATTACAGGGATAAGATAGAAGGTGAAACTGATGAGATTGCTAAACAGGTACAAACTTCTGCAATTATATAACTGGACCATAACATAATGTTGCTTCAGTGTACTGCCTTGTTTTCCTTCACATTGCTTTCTAGTTAAACCCTAAGAAAATGCATTTTTTGAAGGTTGTACATTAAATTATAGAGGGACTCAGTCTTTAAGCAGAAGAGATGTAATACTGTTCGTGCTTGACTGGCCTAGGCTTTTAATCTATTGCTGGGTTGTTTTTTTATTAGTTAGTAAAGAGCTCTTCCTTTATTGCTTATACATGGACGGATCTCTTGAACTGGCAGTTGGCTTCACCAGAAAACTTCTTGAGCCGTATATTTATTTTTCCTGTAACTAACTAGTTGAGTTATTTCTTTGCAGATTTCAGATAACGAGAGAAAACAAAATGTTCATCGGTCAGCCATTATAGAGCTTCAAAATAACAGAAGAAACAAGGTATCTTGGATCATTATGGTCTTAGTGATCTAACTTGCTTAACAGTATGATCTGGTTCTGTGAAAGAGATGTTATAATTATCCTTTTTGTAATCATAGCTTGATGTTGATGTATTTCATAAATGAATGTAACTTTATAAATTATCATTGTAATATCTGCAATTTGGCCTAGGTCACAGCATTTGGAGGAGGTAAAGTCCTTCAACTTCTGCGTGCAATTGAAAACCATCGTCATCAATTTAAAAGGCCACCAATAGGTCCAATTGGCGCTAATATGGTAAGTTGCCAGTCTTTAATTATTATGTACTCGAGCTCTATCTGTTTGATTATTGATTCTTTGAAAGTTGAAACTGATGCTTCCTGAAAAGCGATATGCTTGGGATTTCGAAAAGAAAACTAACATTTCCTTGATGTTGATCTCTCACTGATTATGTTTCTAATGAGTTACTTTTCAGAAGCTATCTGTTAGCTTTAATTTCATAGATGTTCTTAAAGTCATGGTCAGCCATTTTGCTGTTCCATACCTAAGTTGTTGACACATTCTTTGATGACTGACTCTGAAAGGCCTTAGCAAATGATGATCGATGGGCTCTAGCTGTTGACTGTGCGCTTGGGAAGCTGCTCAATGCGTTCATTGTGACAAATCATAGTGATTCTGTTCTTCTAAAAAATTGTGGAAGAGAAGCAAATTATGGTCACCTGAGAATCTACATATATGACTTCGAACGACCAAGGTGGGTAGATGCCTATGGTTTCTGGCTCCTGATGGGTTTCTGATCCTATGCAATCTCATGTTCCTGTTTGAGCTAAATCCTTGTCTTTTTATCTTACCTTATGCTGTAGGTTAAACATACCTCCTCATTTGCTTCCCGGTACAAATCACCCAACTGTTCTATCTGTTATACATTCCAGCTATGATACATTGCTGAATGTGCTGATAGATATGGTAATAAGTGATTTCATAATGTTTAAATACATCAGCTAGCTTCCAGAAGGCCATGTGTTTGCTGAATGCTTAACTATTTTGTTGTTCTCCAGGGTAATGCAGAAAGGCAAGTCCTTGTCAAGGACTATGACACCGCCAAGGCAGTTGCTTTTGATCAAAGAATGTCAAATGTGCATGAGGTTTACACGTCAGATGGATATAGAATGTGAGTGTGTATATATAAATTTTTTTGTGTGTGTATAACAAATGTGTCCACAGCAGTCACTTCTTCATTCCCCTTGTCATGGGTAGTCACTCTAGGCGGTAAACAGCTCCCACCGTATGTATCCTATTTGATATTTTATATTGGAATCATCAATTCTTAACAATAACGTGGCGAGTTACTTAATAGGGCCTAATGGAGGTGATTAAAACAAAAAAATGCTAACCCACATGGATGAGTTTTCATTTTCGTGAAACCTACTTGGATAAGTAATATGGGTAACTGGTTAGGATTTCGTATTAACTTGATTTGGAAGCCAACAGCTGTGTTTCCTTTATCTCATTTTTTACTTAATCTAAAAATATCAAACACATTTCCAATCTGATTCTTAAAATACAGAAAGAACAGCTATAACTGTTGTAAATCATGATTTCTCTTGTCTCATTACCTTTTGACACCCAATGGTAGTTGAAGTAACAAGCATGATGGGTTCCGTTTGAGTTTCATGTGCCTTTGTTTCCTTGAATAAAAAAATAACGGGGAAGCTTTTGGTTTAAGTTGAAGGAACGGTTGAATTTCATTTTTACTTTTGGAAAGACCTATGTTATTTGATAACTGAAATATAAAGTAGAAAGTGAAGTAGGCAAAAAAAGTTACGGGAAACAGAAGCAGAGTTTTCTAAGTGGTTTGGGTATCACATCTGGAGCAAATTCCTTATCATACAATCCCGTTGTGATTATGGAGCATGTTACTGTCAATGTTTGTTTGCATGCTTGTGACGAGAGTTTTTTGCCAGGTTCTGTCGCGAGTCAGTGCAGACAGTGCTTCCCCCAAATCAGTGGCTTAGTAAGCGTCTATGTGCTTCATTTGATGATCAAATCATTGATCGTGAGCAACAGGTCCAGGTTCTTGCTAAAGAAGCTGAAGATCTACGACAGAGGAAGCGGGATTCTGAGGGAAGTCTACATAGTCTTGGAGAAACACTGCGGTCAGCGAAGGTGATAACTGTCATCTATCATTGCTTAAGAGCTTCCTAATCATCCTGTAGTCCATTTCTGCGCCTTTAACTGAAGAATGGTAGGCACACTTCAGCTCAATGTTTGCACGTGCTGAACCTTAGCATGGTTATGTAGATTCATACTTTGAACTTGACCTTTTCGGTAGACACAGCCTGGCTATTTTGTATGTCATACTGTCGATAAACCTGTCTTATTCCACTAGGATCTTGCTATTCCACATGTGCTTCATTTTGTATGTCATGCATGTGGAGCGTAGTTCTGTTTAGCCCACATAATCTTGCATTGCCTTTCAGCATCTTCTTTACTTTAGCTGGAAGCTGCCTTTGTTTGTGCTTCTGTACGTGAAATTCTTTGCTGTTCCTTTTAACTAATTGTAGAAGAAACGCTGGGACGCTGAGCGGGAGTTGGCATCTATGAAACTAGAGCTGGAGGATTTGGAGCGATCAACTGACAGTGCTAGTATGTCGCTGCCAACATCAACTTTGGATGAGCTTCATGAAGAAATTTCTGTTTGTTCCAGCTTCTATTTCTCTTTTTGATGCTTTACTGCAGACTTGCTTATTTCTGTGTCGTTTTTACTGGGATTCCTTCTCTAACCTAACTGCATCTTGTTTACATGACTTGCGCAGAAGATAGAAGAAGAGATAAAGCACAAACAGACTACTGTAGAAAAGCTTCAGTTTGAAATTGGAAAAGCTGAAGCAAAATTTAAGGCTCTGAAGATGTCCTTTCAGAGTTTATGTGGTATGACTAGTGTTGGTGGATTTCTCTTTTAGGAAAAAAGATCACCTTAGGATTAGTTTCTCTTTGGCTTAATTGTAAAACTGTAGATTCAGCAAAAGAAGATTTCAAGACCCTGGATGATGCTGAGATTGAGCTGACGAAGATTGAGACCGATCTGAAGACTGCTGAGATGGTATTTTTCCTTTGAGCTCAGTTTATTTCTTGATCCACCACTTTCTTTCTTTTTGTTTTTTATTCTGCAGATAATGCTGCTGGCCCTTTTGGTTTGGTTGTCGATTGGTTGAATGTTTCTATTCATCCATTACCACTAGCCTAACCCCTTGGGGTTGCTTGATTCACCACTTCCAAACTGATACTTACTATTATCTAACTAAAATAGCATATTGTCATGTCAGCAAAAAGAGCATTACGAGAGTGTAATGGCGACTAAAGTCATTGTCAAGATTGAAAATGCCGAGGCAAAGCATAGGGAGCTCGAAGATGAGCGACAGGTAAACTTTCAAGTGTCATTACCGTATCAAATTGAGACCGTCGTAACTTGCCTTTTCTTTCTCAACAGCCTTCTCAACATGCTTGCTCTTATATTCTTGGTGCTCAATGCCATAATTTTCTTTTTGCTTGATTCTCAAATTGGTGCTTGGGTTAAACTTAATATGGGAAGGTTCCATGAACAGTGAGCTAACAGTATCATAGATTGTTAGGGTTTTTGCTCGCTGGTACAAATGAGGTTAATGGGTCTGGAAAAATAAGAAGTTAGTTCAGCATGGTTCCACTGACTCGTGCTAACATATCCAACTTCTGTGCCCTGCCATGCTTCTGTGACAAGCGTTGGTGTTCTCTGGAATTTGATCTGAAATACATGTACCTGAAAAGAATTGCTCACAGCACTGGCAATTCTTAGATCATAATCTTCATACTGAAAGCTGAAGACTATAATGTTGTGCTGAGAAGGTGGTGTGTTCCTCTCTATCTTCTTTGGTGGATGCAGCAGCTATTAAAAGTTTAATCTGAAGCAACTGTTTTATCATCTGTAGGGCTTACTTTTAGTGTTTGATTACAGGAAAGATACAGGAAGGCTTCCATCATTTGTCCAGAGAGTGATCTTGAAAATTTAGGAGGAGCATCAGATGGACTAGATAGCAGCAGTCCAGAGCAACTCAGTGCCCATTTAAGTATACGGAAAGATAGGCTTCACAAGGAGAGTCAGCAGTATGTCCTGATATGCTGAACATTATATATTCCTTTAGTGATTTAAATGAAAAGGTCTTACACTTACATTGGCAGGTTTTCAGAATCTATTGATGATCTGAGAATGATGTACGAGGAAAAAGAAAATAAAATTCAAAAGAGAAGACAATGGTGTAAAACATTCAGAGAAAAATTGGAGGTATGCTATATATCTCAATTGTTTTAGGGTTAATATATTTGTATGGTCTGAAGTTTTCACAAATTAAACATTCTGACCATTTTTATCGATCTATAATTTCGTGGCCTCAACTATGCATCAAAGTTACTAAATTGGTCAAATCCGAGATTTGAACGTTATTTTGGACGGTCAAACGCATTGACTAACGGTCAACGCGCCACGCCGTCACGTCACTGCCCAATCAGCATAAAAAATTATTAAATTCCACATATTATCTAATATTTGGATTATTACATTTTAATTGAGGCCACGTTGCATTAGAGACATTATTTATTTTTATTAATTAATTATAATAATTTAAAATAATAAAATATGTGAATTGTGGTAAATTTTTAATATTTTTTATGTTTACTGTGTAGTGACGTTGCTAGTTGACCATTAGTCAACAGTTTTGACCGTCCAACATAACGGTCAAATCTTGGGTTTGGCCATTTAGTAACTTTGATGATTAGTTGAAGCCACGATATTATAGATCGAAAAAGATTGACCAGGATGTTTAATCTGTGAAAAGTTCAGACCATACAAATATATTAACCCTTTGGTGTATTTACATGAATATATTCCCTTAACCTCTTTGTCTACGTCACTGTTCTTCGGGTTGGTTTTACTTATAATTTTCTACTCCATTCTATTTGCAGGTCTGCGTGAAAGCATTAGAGTTGCGGTGGAAGAAGTTCGAGAGCAATAAGAACAGCGCAAGGCGTGATTTAACTTGGAAGTATGATTTTCCACTTGCTTATTGCCGATTGTCTAGCATCTTCTCTGAACTTATGACGAATTTTATCTTATTTGCCTTTGTACTTTCAGTTTCAATGATCATCTGGGAAAGAAAGGAATAAGTGGGAACATCAAAATTGACTACGAGGAAAAAAGTCTGGGAGTGGAGGTCAGCACTTGTTTCCGTAAAACTCTGCACATGTACACAACTTGTAGACTAACTGATGGGTTTTGCTGCCTTTTTTCATTTGTCTATGATGCTGAACTCTGCTGCTTTAATGTTTTTTATCTGTGTGTGTGTATGTGGTTAAGGTGAAAATGCCACAAGATGCATCAAATAGCTCAGTTCGCGACACAAGAGGGCTTTCAGGTTCTCTCTATACTAGTTTGTTTCCTGCATGTGATGCACAGTTTTAGCATCTAACTGGTTTTGCAAATTCAACCCGGGAATCGTCTTGTATTAGTGCTGCTAGGCAAACCTGGGATAGGCAGGCTTGTACCATTTGTCTTCTGACATTGAATTAACATAACATTAAAACTATATATCAGAATGTACCAACGCAGCAAGAGTGACTCCTAAAGCTTCTTTACTCACTGTTGTTGGTGCTATATAATTAGGTGGTGAGCGCTCCTTCTCAACTCTATGCTTTGCACTATCACTTCATCAGATGATAGAGTGTCCATTCCGAGCGATGGATGAGTTTGATGTATTTATGGTAAAAAGCGAAACTTGACCTTGGCATGTCCGCTTTCAGTATTGGGGGATCACATTTTCATGTCATGCATCAGTATTATGGTTGAGATAAATTGATGCTCTGTCTGTTTTCAGGATGCGGTGAGTCGCAAAATCAGCTTGGACACACTGGTGGATTTCGCGCTAAGTCACAAAGCTCAGTGGATATTTATTACTCCTCACGATATCAGGTGAACAAGAAATGTTTGTTCTAGCTCGAGAAACTTTTGATCTTGATTGATGATCTCCCTGAAATGTTTGTGCTTGATCTGGTGTTTGTTTGAATAATGTATGACAGCATGGTGAAACAAGATGAGAATATAAGGAAGCAGCAAATGGCAGCGCCTCGATCTTAGGCATTCAACGATGCACGTTCACTGGTTCGATCTTATTGTTTGATGAACAGCTTCTGGAAATTTTCTTTTGATTTTTGTACATAGTATCAAGGGTCCAAAATCTGTGCTGACTCTTCTTCTCAATTGCATGCATGCATGCATATCCCACCACCATGCATGCCATTACAATTAGGGTTTTGGGGGTTTCTTCGGTTGAAATTAATTTATGCCGTTGGGCCTGCTTCTCCAATCAAAGCAGAAAATTGAGTTCCCTGCCGTATCTATTATTATTATTATTATTATTATTATTTTATTTTATTTTATTTTATCTTTTTTTTGCATGGGCAATCAAAAAAATCTTGTTAAGCTTATAGTGAGAACTCAATTTGAGTCCCATTTTTCTCAGTATGTTACATTACAACTGTCATTTTCTAGCAACATACAGAATTTACTATACCCTAAAAGACACTGTCAACTTTACAACTTTCTACAACTTATAAAGGCAAAATCCACTTGTATATCCATAACTTTCACGTTTGTGACAAATATATCCATAACTATCGAAATACACGAAATACCCAATTCCGTCCATTTTGTTAACGGCGTCAGTTGACGACATAACTAAACTAACGGTAGAAGCTGAGTTGGCGATTGATTTACCACACCAAATGACGTGTATTATAAAGAAAAAAATAACAAAAATTAAAATACAAAACAAAAACAAAAACAGAAAGATACGGGGCTTAAACCCAGAAAAAACGCCTAAAATAAAGAAAATAAAAATGCTCTTCTCTACCTCTTCGATTTCTCCGCCTAGGGTTTCCCTTCTCCGATTTCTCCAAAACTCGGTGGCCACTTTTTGATTTTCATCGACTCGGGTCCTTTTCTCTCATCCCTGCCGACGAACATGGCTAGCGGCTGCGCCTGCAACTGCGAGTCTTCCAACTTGTCGACAACACCTTGTCGATCCCGACGCTCTGGCCGAGGAGGTGGTGCAGATCCAGATCCGCCAAGCTGTTGGCCACGAACCCTTGGAATTCCAATTCCACGTCAATCTTCTCTTCATCTTCTCAACCCATGGCTTCTCGATTTATCCAGCAGTTGAAGGGGAAAGGAAGTGGCGGAGTGGATAGAAACCCTCTGTTTATCTCGTCGACCAAAACAGGGGATCCAGATCTTCCACTGAGGAGGAAGATCGGAGGCGGATCCAGATCTCTTTTGCCTAATAAGCTTCTTCTCAGTGGTAGCAGTTGGCAGGGGAAGAGCCAACTTCTTCTCAAATCCCCAGAACCCGATTTCCCCCTTTCCTCCTTTTGTTTGATGTTGAATGCTACTCTTCGAGGTTGGGTACGGGCAGCAGGGGGAAGGATTTGGTTTGCGACGGGAAATCTCATAAGCTATTAGGTTTAAGAGGAGTAATGGGGGATCTGATTATTAGGTTTAGGAGGAGTATTCGGCGAGCTATGGAGGCTGGAGCTACGGGAGAGAGAAGAAATCATTGGGGCAAAGAGAATTAATTTTATTTTTTATTTTTATTTTTATTTTTTATTTTTTGCTGACATGGCTCAAATTATGCTGACGTGGAGCTTAGGTGTGAGATGGGTATGGTCCTAGTCAGCGTTATGTCACATTTACTGACGCCGTAACAAACGGTGTTAAAGTTTTTAACGAAATGGATAGATTTGTCACACGATAGTACGCTTTTCTGGGTATTTCGTGTATTTCGATAGTTATGGATATATTTGTCACAACCGTGAAAGTTATGGATATAGAAGTGTATTGGGCCATTTGTAGGTTTTTAGTTTCAATTTGGGCTTTTGGGTTAAGTGAATTCCGGACATACCCAGTCACTGGTGGGGTTTGCCGGCAACGGGAAGAAGCGCGAACTGAAAGCGTCATCGGCCGATTTCAATTCCAGGGCAGTGAAATGCAGCGGGGAGACGACGAAGACGACAAAAGATGGGCTTCCAAGTCTATTTTAAGTCCAGAATGTGCGACTCCGATTTAGGCGAATTGCAAAATTAAAGGGCTCTACCGAAAGGACCCTTCCACAAAATCCTCTTAAACCAGGAAAATTTGAATGGGTCGACGGTTCTACTTTTCAGCTATAATAAAAAGTGTAGATAGATGTTGATGTAGAAGATATAGTTAACAACTATAAATTAAAGGGTAATGTCTATTTTTTATTCAAACTTTTTTTAGATTTTTGTATATTATTTATACCTATCAAAATGCTAAGAATTAGTCAAATGTTAACTTTCAGTCAGCAAATTTGTTAGTAATATTGACGAGACAACATGATACTAACTTGGAAGAGACACATGAATGTCAACATTCCAAAATTTTAGTATTTTAACTAAAAAAAGAGTTACAAAATTATTAACGATAACATAAAAATGACTAATATTTTGATGCATTATGAAAGAATTGGCTAATTAATAGACTTTTAATAGGTTTGGATAATATAAAAGAAACTGAAAAATGTTTGGATAAAAAATAAACATTACCCAATTAAAAACCCTACTCCATACTCCCCCACTCAGCAGACGGTAGCGCTGTTCACTAACTCTCTCTCTACCACCTTTCAACATCCTTCCTCTTCCTCTTAAAGAAAGGCTTATTAATCCCCTGTCAACCAAGGATTGAAATAACGTACCGTATCGGCTGTTAGACTAGAAAATATCACACCGTACCGGCGATATTAAACGGTTGAACCACGATTAACCACGATTTTAGCATAAAATACCCTACCGCTGATTTTTTCGATACAACTTTCGGTACGATATTTCAATCTTTGTTTCCAACCTCTCCAACTCATTTCACAATGCATGCAACCAACACCCCCTTCTCCCTACCCGCACACTATTCTTTCTTTATCTCTCAAACTCTCATCTGTTAATGGAAAGCAAAAGAAATCTGCATCGTTTTTGATGCCCAACATGTAAAGAAAAAAATGAGTTGTCTCAATCTCCTAGTCTCTCCGTCAAAAAAGCCGTAAGTAGTTTCAAATCGCCCACGGGAAGGCAGGGAACGCCGAGTTCGCCGTAAATTATGGGTGGACAGGGGATATGTTCGACAAAGAGGGGAAGGGGAGAGTGAATCAGAACCTCCGCTCCCCTTTTTTATTTCCGATTTTTCCGTTCAGATCTAGATTTTCTTCTTCTTTTTTCCGTTTGACAGTTCAGAAGTATAAAACCGGTCGGACGGTTCGAACGGCTCGAATGGTTAACCGTTTCGACCATTCACCGACCACCCTTTCTAATTGTTACTGTTTTTGGAGTGGTTGGAACCGGACTGGTGGATGGGTGTCGGTTTTACTGGTCTGACTAACTGGCCCGTGTCAATTTTAATAACACTGGAAAATACAATAGTTCCTGTAGAAATTGCCATTCTATATAGGGTTAATACCTTGTTATGGCCTGAACTATGACCATGTAATCAACTTTGGCCAGTGGTTTGAGAAATTAACATCCTGGCCCGAACTATGCAGCATATAGACAAAATTGGCCTGGAGCGTGGTTTGACCGTTTGTTTGGACGGTCAACACCTTTGACCGTTAGTCAACTGTCCAGGTCACTGCCATGTCAGCATAAAAAAATTATAATTTCATTTACAAAATTGAATAATTAAAAAAAACAAAAACAAAAACAAAAACTTTTGGCCCACCCATCCCCACCTTATCCCCTCACCTTCTTTCCTTTTCGATCAAACCCAAACAAACCCTATCTTCCATCTTCTTCCTCCTTCTTCCCCGACGAGCCGCCGCCTCCATTCTCTTCGACTTCAAATGCAGCGGAGAGCCGCCGCCTGCATCATCTTCACCAGCTTCCCCTGAAACCGTAAAAACAAAACCTCCACACAAGCTCTGCCTCTTCGACCAGCTCTTCCCCTTAACCTACACTCCACTCATCCTCTTCTACGCCAACCCTGAAACCCCAAATCTCCAATCCACCGATCGCTTCATCGCCCACCTGAAGCGCTCTCTTGCCGAGACTCTGACCGTCTACTACCCTTTCTCCGGCAGGACGAATTCGGGCAATTTGCTCATCGACAGGTTCGGGGAAAGCATCTCGTTCATCCATGTCAAGGTTGAAAGCTGCCACCTTTCCGATTTCCTCAAACGCCGTGAACCGGAAAACCTCAACTGCCTCCTCCCTCGAGCTCCCTTCTGTCGAGAAAGCTTCGAATTCGACTCCCCTGTTTTGGAGATGCAGGTCTCTGTTTTCGCCTGCGGCGGAATCGCCCTGGGATGGGCCGCTTCACACAAATTGATCGACGGATTCACAATGATATCTTTCCTCAAGGCCTTCTCCGCCGTCTCCCGCGGCGGCCGGGAGAGGGCGGAGATCCTCTCCGCCGCCCCCGCCCTGTTTCGGCCGCAATCTGATGGAAACCCTCTGGTTTATAAAAGGAAACGGGCAATGGGGGTAATTAACCTTAACCAGCTAGCCCGCCGGCCCTCAGAAGAAGACACAACACCACTCCATTTTGGCCCTGCCTTTAACCTCTTCCCTTCCCCTGTTTTCTGATCTTATAGTGGAAGCAAACTTCTTTGCTGGGCTAGTTTAGGGGAATGGACACATCGCTGTTTCCAATGTGATAATCAATCTTCATATTCAAATAAACAACTCTGATAATGATCTTAATCAATTCGGTCAGTGTATGGAATTTTGGGGGTCAATTTATTTGGGGAGCAATTTTGTTTTCTCTCCGCCGCCCCCGCCCTGTTTCGGCCGCAATCTCCAATCTGATGGAAACCCTATGGAGGCGGCGGCTCGTCGGGGAAGAAGGAGGAAGAAGAAGGAAGATAGGGTTTGTTTGGGTTTGATCGAAAAGGAAATAAGGTGAGGGGATAAGGTGGGGATGGGTGGGCCAAAAGTTTTTGTTTTTGTTTTTTTTAATTATTCAATTTTGTAAATGAAATAAAAAGAAAAATGAAATTATAATTTTTTTATGCTGACATGGCAATGACCTGGACAGTTGACTAACGGTCAACGGTGTTGACCGTCCAAACAAACGGTCAAACCACACTCCAGGCCAATTTTGTCTATATGCTGCATAGTTAGGGCCAGGATGTTAATTTCTCAAACCACTGGCCAATGTTGATTACATGGTCATAGTTCAGGCCATAACAAGGTATTAACTTTTCTATATATGTTTGAGCTTGATCGTCTTAGACAATAACAATTTGCATATTCATCACTTGAGATGGAAGTGATTAGAATCTGCATGACATTTGATCGCTGTGAAGAGAAGCGATCCACCAAGCACCGCTGT